CCTTCCATATTTTCCCGGTCCTATTTTCATTTCCGCATCTAAATCTTGCAATGGTTTTTATATTTTTGTTGTTCTTCTGTGTATATTTTGGCAAGTGTAATGTTTTTATATCTTTGTACGTGGTATTGTAGGTGCTGTTTTCTATTCGATTGATTTGGTATTGTAATTGGTTGCCTTTGTCTCTCTCCTTCATAATCATTGGTATATTTACTCCCTCTCTCCTTAATCTTTCCGCCTCATCTTCTGCATACCCATTCCTTTGGAAATATCTTCTTTCTTCTGTCCACTTTGCTTTGTTGGTCTTCTTTCTCTCATTGAGAGTTTCTTTTAGTAACCCGTTTTCTCCTCTTTCTATCCTTTCGTCGTATTTGACTGCTCTATATCCCGCTTCTATCCTCATCTTATCTTGTTTGGTTTCCTCCAGAAGTATGTAAGTTGGGGTATCTCTTGACAATCTTAGGATCCATTTTAGGTATTTGTTTTGTATCCGCTCGATGTCTTCTATCTCCTTCCAACCCCATGTTTTTGCTCCGTACACCACTGTGCTTTTGATCAGGTAGTCGAACATCATTTTCTTGATTCTATAGTTTTTGAATTTTCTTTCTGCTATGCTCCATATCTGCGGTATTAATCCATTTGCTTTTTTCTTTATTTGTCTTATGTGGGCACTTTGTCCTCCGTTTTTCATTAGTGTGTACCCAAGGTATTTAAATTCCGAAACTTCTTCTATTTCTCTTCCTTGGATTTTTCATGATGTCTCGTCCTTATTCTTCTTTCTTCCTTTAGTACATAAAAACCATTATTTTTTATTTTTCTGTGTTTATTATGAATTTCTTTCTTCTTGCGTACCTTTCTAACTGTGTGATCATTTCCTTTATTTCTGATTGCTTTGTTGCAAGGAGCACCATGTCGTCCGCGTATGTTAATGACCATATCTTTTTTCCTCCAATTTTTATTCCTCCTGCTTGCTATTTTCTTAATGCTTCTTCTAGGTCTGCCACATAAATGTTGAAAACGGTTGCACTTAGCGGACATCCACAAATAGTCTATGTGTTTGTTATTGACTTTGTTTCTCTATAGATTTCTTTAATCCTTTCTATTGTGTTGCTGTCAATATTTTTCTTTTCCAAGCTGTTATATAATTCGTTCTTGTCTAGATTATCGAATGCTGCTTTTAGATCTATGAATAGGGCGTAGACTTTACCTCCTTCTTTTCCTGTACTGCGTGATGTATTATGTATATGTTGTCTATCGTCCCCCTTCCCTTCCTAAAGCCCATTTGTATTTCATCTAGTATTTCTTTGGCCTTAGTTGGGCCCCTTATATTTATCATCTTTACAAATGATCTTTCCTTGGAATTTTTTACAAAAGATTACTAGATAACTGTTTAATTGTGATAAATTTAAATAAAACAAGACAAAATTTATAAAAGATACTTACAAATCCGTATCACACTAGTAGAATGAAGAGATAAGGGGGGCAAGAAGGAAGGTTTTTGCTATTGTCCAGCACCACCCAATACACAAAAATTAAAAATTACTCAACAAGAACACGGTTCGATGCAGATTGCTCAAAATTCTGTCGTTTGTTACCCCACTCTTCGCGTTCAAAAATACCAAAACATTAACAGCGCCACACTTACTCCATCTAACTTACATAGAAATAATTCAAAAAATAAGACGGCGTTAACATTGCCCCCAGAATGAAGTACGGTTTCGAACCAACAATATTTAACTAACAAATCAGATTCTAAGAGAAAGATTAATTATAAAGAAAAATAACAAAATATTTATTGCGTTGGTAAAGGAGATACCTTAATATTACTGGCCGGCGGCGGTACATACCATTTTTGGTTCGAACATCGAGAACTCTGACCACTTGGTCAGTTCTTGGGTAGTTTTTTTCTATAATGCCTAAAAGCCAAGATAAAGGAGGGACATTGGCTGATTTAATAGAACAACAGTTCCTATTTCAATAGGATTCGTTTCAGTGTTCCAGCGATATCGAGTTTGCATCTCAGTGAGACATTCCAACCGCCACCGTCCAAAAGTCTTGTATCATACGATCAAGTAATTGAAATCTGCTTAATTAATTAATATTCTGATTACTATAATCTGCGGTGGGAAAATAGTTTATCGGACCCATAGTTAAGAAATGAGCATCTTCCATGATTTCCAAAAATAAATTAAATCACAATGTAAATAAAGGTACGCCTCCGTGGACTGCCTCTGCACGTCACTGGATCTGACCGAAGTTGAACGGTTAGTGCGACACTTCCCGTGGATGCTGGACAGGGGGTATTCCAGCTTCGGTTTGTTATAGTGACGTGCAGAGGCAGTCCACAGAGGCGTACCTTTATTTACATTGTGATTTAATTTATTTTTTTTTTATTTATTTTTATTGAAGAACAATATATGTATTAAGCGATCTCCGCTTTCAACTGGTTTTACTACCGAACCCTGCTGCGAATTGAGCTACCCGAACCAGCACTTGTGAACTCTCAATTTTCCAACCCCGATTCCCGTAGCCGTGAAAAATTGGGAGCGTTACATGGCGCCCGAGCAGGGACTAACGGGAAGTGGTATTTGATATGATCGGAAAGGGAGGTGGCGGCATCTCACGGAACTTCATGAAAATAGTTTTCATCATTTCTTCCTAAAATGATTATAAAAAGTATCATAGTTGGATTCCTTACAAAGTGTATCGAAAATGGTGTTCACACTTTACGTCCTCCGGACTTTCTAAATTTAAAGATGGCGCATCCTCTACTTCCCAAAATCGTTGTACCAGTGTCTCCAACCGAGATTCGAAAGGGATAAAGAAACTATGTATGTGTGCAAGGAGATATCGTGGGTGAAACTCCCATTAAAACAAATCCAAGCTGAGTCGCAATAGGTAAAGGTGTATTTGGAAGGCCTGAAATTCGCTCTCGGTCCAACAACTGGCTCCAATTATTCCATCTACCTTTCCAAGAATGTAAAATTCAGTATCAGCTAATGTCAACCAACACAGATTTTGAGGGTATTATTGTGATTTTTCTTCTTACTTCGTCCTAGGTAATATGGAAAAATAGGGTTTCATCTCAAGAATAAAATGAACGTTATAATCTAGTTAAATTAAGTATATTCCTTATTTGGTAAACTATAATGAGTAAGAGGCAGTAGATATCACTTTTTTCCAATAGCCGGAAATGAGGATTTTTTTCTGCTCAGGCCATATTTGAGGATTCCACTTTTTCAGTTTGTTAAAATACCCTAATGTATAAGTATATGATAATAAAATAAATGTGGATAAGTTATGAGTGAGTCAGTAATGAGGTACTGGGAGAGCTATTTCAGTTTTTGGAATAATAATCATAAATTAATTATAACTTTCTAAATTATTCTGATGTCCGTCGCCCTCCGACACTAATTAAGGCATCGCTACCATTTGTTATGATTATTTTGCCAACGTACAATGAAAGATTCATTGTGCCGAAAATTTATAGCTTAATAGTTATCATCCATCTGCGTATTGTAGGTAATCGAATCGGCATTCCATCAATACCACTTCGTATGCAAATGTCTAGCTGATATATGGATCGGAAACCAAAATTGCCACAATTATCAGCCTTAATATAATTGACGATTGAAAATTTCAGTTGTATTTTTTACTGTGGAAATATCCAACCGTAGAATACGAAAACTCACATTCAAATGTCTAAATCGAAAATTGTAACTTCTCCTTATAAAGATGAGGAAAACATCCTCCACATTTATATGTGAAAACACACCCCACGAAGAATGAGATTTATGGTTGATTTAGGATAAACCGTATTACTTCTGCTTATCATATAATTAAGTTGTGGTTTTGCTTCAGCGTTTCGCATGTCTTCCTTTTACATCATAAGTTTCTCTTTTCATGTAGAAGTAGAAGATTTATTATTCGCATATATCGCATATTCGACAAAATTAGAGGATGTTGTAAGTGAAAAAATTGGATAGGTTATTATTATATTAGGGGACGTGTGGACCGAAAATTAATAATAGAGCTATCCCTTATTTTTGCATGAGTGAACCGATTCGGTAAAGTAAATGGAGAATGGAATCGTGTATTGCTAACGGTTTGAATAGTTTTTCCGCATTGTAATCGTATAATTCGTACTGATTTACGACAGACTACTGGAGTGGAAGAGTGACATTGGCAGTGATTTCGACACTGCTTCTTTATGTAACTAACAGCGGGTTGAATGCATTTTCAAATATCTCGTTTCATAAAAAGTAATATCCCTTGCGAAACTTTTCGCTTTAAACACGACGCGAAATAAAAATATTGCGACGGCCATGAGTGTAAATGTCATCTTTATTGTACCTACAGTTTGACAGGTAAAAGGGTATTCGTGGTTTTAGATTTATTATTTATTAATTTAAAAATTGTCTTTACTTATCCTTGCTTTAAGACAATTGATTTAAAATCGTTTTTACGTTTATACAGTTATGCACTTGCAATGCTCTTTCCATTTCAAATACATACCTTTAAAAGGGCCGGTTTTCTAAACCCTCAATAAATTTATTCGCCAAATAAATACCTTGACAACGATTGTATCAAAAATGGTATCCGCGCAGTTTATTCGGAGCGTAAAGTTATGGAAGGTTGAAAAACCCTAGGAAAAACCGGACCTACACCTAGGACCATAGTCCTTACGCATGTGACTATGCTACTACTTACTGTTTTGGATAAATGTAAATGCCTTTACAATTTCCGTGTCGTCAGTGAAACCTATTTTATTTTATTTAAATATTTTATATGTTTATAACATCAATGTCATCATAATTTTTATATATATTGTACGCCAAACGGCATAAAGAAATAAATCAATCAATAAAAAAAAACAGAACCAAGTAGTGCATCCTGGGGAACTGCCACGCTAATCGCAACTTGGTTAGAAAGTGCAATAATCATCCTATCTAATCTAAATCAGAGAAAAATAACTAATAATAATTTTCTTGTTCTGTTTTCAGAAGAGGTAATGCGGGATTTTGAACAGTTTACAATCCGGGTTTGAAGACATATTGGAGGACTTCAAATAAACAATCTAACACGCTGTAATTGGCAGAAGGTTACCGGTAAGACTTCAGAATTATAATTTTTTATATTAGATATGTTTCCATACCACTCCGTATGTTAAAAAAATTCTAGATTTAAACACTCTAATCCCAAATTGTTTTTAACCCACATAGAACCCACTCTCTCTTTCGGTTGTTGATCTACAGTATGAAGAAGTTAATTTTTAATACGTTAATATGTCAGATTTTTCTTCTCGTGTCCAAGAATTGTGTAGTTAATCCTTTGGAGTTTTCAGAAGTTAATCGAGGCCACTCAGTCTACCAAGCTATTAATTTAAGTCAATATTCGAATTTCTTTGTGGCAACAGCTAAATTTCAATTGTGATTTGTTTGAGTTCACTTGCAGTTGAAATATAATCTTTAAATTTGGTGCTGAGGAGTTTTCCAAAGGGATAACACGTCTGCTAGTAACGAATATGCGACAAATGATAAGCAAACGGTTGAAATCAATATAAGTGTAAAATCCCTGGTAAAATCCCATCATGGGTGCGTTGACGACAGGCGTAATACACCAACTTAAACAAATGTCAGAAATAGCTGAGCAAACTTAAACAAATGATTCCCACATATTAATGTAAAAGAATTGGTTTGGAGCCGTCAACTTCACTATGCTCTCGATTTTTTGTCGCATTATTAATGAAATGCCTTGCATATTTGCAAATTGCGTTAGTAAAGTAGTTTAGCTAACATAAATCTACTCAACGCTAGCTACCAATGAATAAAATACACTTTATTACAATTTGTAGTCAGTATATGCCCCACGGGAACTCAGATTCAATGGGAAGAGGAATTATTTCACATGCAAATGAAATACTAATTAATTCGTTAGCTGTACAGTTAATATTGATTTAATGAACTTGTGAATTTACATATACTTCATACTTTCATAACAAAAACGTACCTTTACTAAAAAAATAAACATAAATTAAAAAAAAAATATGTTTAACTGTTAAGAAAGGCCAAATCAACAACTTAAAAGTGCGCCCACATTAAAACCTGTTGCGTGGTATAAATCTCCCACGATAAATTTACCAAAATAAAAAAATGTCTGTTCATGCGGATGTCCATTATCATATATAATGCACACGAACATTTCTATGTATAAGTTGTAGTGCTGTGACCCTTTTTTATTTTAGACCACATACAAACACATCAAACCTTACCAGCTCTCTAATGAAATTTCTCTCAGTACCCATTCGCACCCCAGCACATCCAGAAAATTCAATTTCTGATTCCAAACAAACGGTGGTCACGATCAAACTCCTTAAACTCCAAAAAGGTTTTTTACCAAGATTTTGAAAGCACTTGAAATTAACTTTGGATGCGGATCAACAGAATTGAGCATGAGACCTATCTCTGAATCGTTAAAGGGATTGAATAAATACACGACTTGCATAATTTTACATAAACGAAATTTATTCTGCGACCACAAATGAATTTAAGCATAAAATCCTATTCACAACATTGAACCACAGCGTCCGAATAAACAATCCACGCAAATTCGTTCGATTACAATTAAACAAACATCATGAAACCTTAAAATTACTTACAGTTTTCGAGTCACAAAACCCAAAAAAATCCGGGCACGCAAAAAATCCACTAATTTTGAACGGAAACAACCTAGGAAACAACGCACTTAGTCGACACGCACAAAATTGGGCTTCTTAATTTCTTTCCCAGGCAGGTCATAGAAACGTTGATTGTGATATCTGGCTGAACGCAAAAACACCACCGATAACTCGAATGGCTGTCCGTTTAACATGAACGTATCGTTGGAAAGAAAAAAAATACGTCTGTTTTAGGAGGACGTAGCATTTATTCCGTAGAGTACGTAAATATGTCGGATAAATGTATTTTTCTGGCTGCAATTTAAGAAAGTGTTGTTGATTTTTAGTGCCAACGGTCTGGTAATATCGAAGCGCCTCGGGACGGAAATGAATTTAATTATAGTGCGGGAGCTGACTCATGCACGTGTGCTGTTGTATGTCTCCTAGGTTTTTAGGCGAATACTTATAGGAACTTAGAAAATCATTGGTCGCGTTGTCCATCATGATCGTTTGGTCAATATATTTAAAAATGGCCGCCACGTTGGATTAAGTATATCTTCCCCCAAGGGCACAAACCAAACATTCTTCTACCTTTTTTACATGTCTTCATTCATTGGTTCTTTGCCAAATTCTAACATGAGGTCTTCGCTACGTAACTTTTACCGCTCTAGAGAATATAGAATTGAGCCACATTTGATGGAAACCAGCATATATAATAGTAGAAAAGGACCGAGACCGACGACAAAATGGTTATGTAAATTAATGAATTTTCGTTAGTGATTTTCTCAGCGGTGTTTATTATAGACAAATCAATAAAAATAAGTTCGTTTACTGATTGTTGTAATGCGCGTACACGCTCAGAAAAAAGCTCATGGACGGTGTTGACTGGGGCAGCTGCACGACTTATTCCCGGGGGTGTGAAGGGGAGGGAACGTGAAAGGTGTCGAAAATTAAAACGCAGGTAAGCTCTTAATAATGCGAGGATTCGAGCATGCAGCCAGCAATTAAATATTGAACAATGCGAGCGAAATTATAAAATTGTAAAAAAACCAGATTATCTACCATATTCCGACGACGTATTTTACAAGCTTCCAAATCAGAAAAACAGTTTCGACATACGTGTTTACAACCCGGAACTCAATTATCTTGCCGGCAATGAATCAACAAATTGGATTGCTGATGGCATAATTCGATACCTACCGGATCGGAAGGACCCCTCGTTTTTATATTAAATCGTTGAATGGCCGCCAGTCACTTAATGGTCACTTGCGATATATTCGTATAAACCGCCGATTGGGTGTTCCATGTAAGTTTAATGTACATTATAGTGACGAATGTTGTCCGTGGAGACTTATCGACAAACGCTACCAGTAATGAATAGATAACATTAGCGTAATTAAAAAGTTTCCATATCATACAATTACATTTTCTGCATACACTACCTTACCAGACCACTTACCATATATGTAATGCCCCTATGATGCTTTGGGGACATATTATCAATAATAGTATGCCTTAATATCTATTCCTCTATTAAAAGTGGCTTAACATCATTTATTATTATTATTGGCAATACAATTGTTAACTATTTGTTTGTTTGTAGTATACATGAAATGTAGGGGGTTAAATGATAGAGATTCTTGATATTCATCACATAGAGACATTTTTTTGCAATTTATGGGATAAGTAAGTACCACTTGAAATATAATTTCCCACGTAGAATTTGTTAGGTGGATTTTAAAGAAAACCTGCCAGGTGATCTTTGGGAAAATACTGCTGCGACCCTTACCTTCGACACATAAAAAAAATAAATATAATTAAATCTTCCAATGATTCATCTGACGAAATTGTGATTATGTTTGTCTGAACGCGTAATTAAAATTTTAAAGCTGCATAAAACTTATTTAAGCGATCATTACCTCCACTTCATTAATCCGCATCGTTGTTAAACAAAAGCTAGTTCATTAACAAGATAGGGCAACGTTTGTCGGGTCAGCTAGTACACTATACATTTAGAACTGCTTTGAGGTAGAAATTCCTTCCTTCGTAAACGGCAAAACGGATTGACCTCCGTAATTATTTAAAAGTATTTATGAAAAAATGTCGGTACTTGTGTACCTGTATTAATTCTAACAAGATGTTCAGAGAAAGTTAATTAATTATGAATTTAAATATCTTGTATTCAAGACATAACAAATAACATTCCGTCTTTAAATATCTGAGACAAAACGAGAAGTATTAGGCATATTTAAATTACCTGTGCCCAAAGATTTTGATTGAAGTCATAATCCTTCCTATTTATGTAGTAATCATTCATTCCTAAAAAAAACAAGTTGAAATGTTGATACCTACACGTTTAAATGTGAAGCATCTTTTTAAGTTGAGGATTAGCTTACGGAAATTTTACAGATACAATTTGTCCGTACATACGAGAAGAGCGTATAACTGATGTATTTCAAGAGCTTTAGAGGAACATTGTAAAACTCTCTATTATAGTCTAAGCCAGCATAGCAGATTAGGGCATGCAAATGCAAATGGAAATCTTGAGTATTCATCCACGATTGTTAATAAGTAACGATTCTTTGAAACTGAAGGAAGAGGTCCCTTGAAATCAATATTTAAATGGTCAAAAGGAGATGTAGCTTTAATAAGTTTTCCTTCTTGCCTGTGAAATTTTGGTTTTACTCCTCGACAAGAGGAAGTCATTCTTCTTATTTCATCTAATGTATAAGGCATATTCTTGCATTTTACCCAATGATTTATCCTTCTTCGAGTCCTTGTTTCACCAGGATGGCAAAGTGATTCATGCACATTCTTCAATTTTTCAGTTTTATTTCCAATCATTGCATATTCTGGAAAATGTATCAGCAACAGCATTGTTTTTGCCTGGACGATATACTATATCATAATCATAACAAAAGAGTTCTAGCATCCATCTCATAATTTTTTCATTTTTTATTTTTCCAGGGAGTTTAGTATCAAACATAAACGAGACTGATCTCTGATCGGTAATAAGAAGAAAGTGTCTACCCATTAAATAATGTCTCTTCCTGACAGCTTAAAAAATAGCTATTTATGTTACAAGTACATAATCTATGACTTTATTGGACGAGTCGAATTTATTGGCAGAGCGCGCTTGCGCGCGAGGCCAATAAAAAAGACGAGATAATAAAGTCTGATTATGTACGAGTAACATACTTAGCTTTATGTTCGACTCGGAAAATGTAGTTCATGTATGTATTGAAAATTTGCTGAAACTTGGTATAGATTTCACTATTTAATAACCAGAAATAACATAGTGTGCCTTTTGTGTTGTCATAGATACGTGTTGTTTGGAAAAAAATCTGTTGATGTGTACCTAGTGTCAATTTCGTTGGGTATTAACTAATTCTCTGTACCTAATTATGAATCCCAAGATGAGTCCAGAAGAAATTGATGGGTCCAACAGTATAC